CAAGTACTTCACTTAGGAAAGAAAAATCCAATACACAACTACAAAATGGAGATAACTGGCTAGGTGGTAGTACTGCTGAAAAGGATCTGAGGGTTATAGTGGACCACAGACTGAATATGAGTCATCTATGTGATGCAACTGCAAAAAAGGCTAATATGATTTTAGGGTGTATTAACAGGAGTGTTGTATGTAACACACAAGAGGTAATTGTCCTGCTCTTCTCGGCCCAGTGAGGCCCCAGCTGGACACACCACAATTTAGGAACGATGTAGACAAATTGGAAAGAGTCCGGAGGAGAGCAACAAAAATGATAAAAGGTTTAGATAACCTGATCTCTGAGGAAAGGCTGAAAAAACTGGGCATGTTTAGTCTTGAGAAAAGAAGATTAAGGGATGACCTGATAAGTCTTCCAATATGTTAAGGGCTGTTACACAGAGGACCGTGATAAATTATTTTTCATGTCCACTGAAGGTAGGACAAGAAGTAATGGGCCTAATCTGCAGCAAGGGAGATTTAGGTTAGATATTAAATAAAAAAACTTTCTAACTCTAAGGCTCTGGAACAGATTTCCAAGGGAGGCTGTGGAATCCCCATCATCAGAGGTGTTTGAGAACAGGTTGGACAAAAAATCTGTCAGGGCTGGTCTAGGTTTACTTAGCCCTGCAACAGTGCTGCGGGCTGGACTTGATGACTTCTCATGGTCCCGTCCAGCCCTACATTTCTATGATTACTTTTGTGTTTCACCAGGCCTGGGGCCAGCTTAGCTGTTGGCAAAATTTAGAGCCGCTCCCTGGGCCTTCTAAGAAGAATTAGGGCAACTGGGGATGGATGGAGCATAGATGCTCCAGCCGTGCCCCCTACTGCCAAGAGCAGAAGGAGGGAGGCTGTGCCAGCTGTCCATCACCCAAGGATTCTCAGCTGGCGGAGAACCAACCGTATGGCTCTCTTGTTTCCAGAACAGCACAAAGAGCCAGTTCCCTTGCTTGCACCTTCTGCTACTCTGCTTCTTGGGGATTCCACACACGCTCTGCAGCTTCCATCCCTGCCCTTCAGCTGCTTCCACTCTACACTTTCTCCAGCCTGCCCTTCCTTCACACCCTTAGTCTCCACTATCCTTCCCATCTCTTTGCTGCCTTCCCCCTCCACAGCCAGGCTTGTGTTTCTGCCATTTCGTGTGTTATCTGCAGCCTTTCTGCCCTCAAATGTCCCCACTCCCTCTTCCACGCCCTTAAAAACCCCTTAATGCACCTGATAAATTACACTGTATCTATTTAGTGTTACTGTAAAAGCCATTTGTTCTAGATGTGTCTGAAATTTATTTGCACCAAAATTGCTTCCCAGGCGAGGAAAAAGAACAGACTCTGTTTCCCCAGTGCAGGAATTGTGAATTCTTCAGCCACTCAGCACCTACAAGTATCTTCTTCCTTTGGTGTTTAATGGGGATTTGATGCACAGTAGCAATAAAAGTCATTTTACATAAAAGCTGGAATTAAACTGTTACAGCTGTAAAAGAAGAAAATTAAAATCACATCCTGGATAGTTCAAAGAATCAACTTTAGTTAACTGGCTTAAACAATGAATTGAAACATCACTACCTTGATTTGCTCATTGTCTTTTTAATAAGAGTTTGAACAAAAATGCTTGAAAGTCAGTTTAAATGAACAATGGCAAAGCTAGTGAGCACAAATGGGTTATTTAGAGAACCAGGTACATGGATAGAGCATAAAGAGAAAACTAGATAAATAAATACACTCAGGGCAAACAAGCTTTGAATTAAGTCCTTGAGAAGATGTCAGCATGTTCATTTTGATGCTCAAAGGATAGTAATACATTGCTATTATGTGGAGTGCCTTTCATTCAGAAGAACAGGACACCAAGGATCATTATCAACTGTGCATGTAAATTAATATACTATATATAGCTTTACCCACCATTGACATGCAGCCACAGGCAGGGCAGAATGCAGCATATGATTTTGCGATGCTATTCAGCGGTCTGGAACAGAGGTAACCAAATAAGTGATTTCAGTTCGGTGGCCAAAACAGCAAATCTGGAAACACATTCTGCTTGTTTCAAGCCTAAACTGATTTTTTGGGGGAGAGAGGCAGGGGGGAGTGTTTCTTGCTGAAACAAAAAACAACAAGTAGTTGTTCAGGTCAAATGAAACATTTCAGAAACGTCAGTTTGAAACAATGTTGAAATTGTTCATTTTGACATTTCCCATATTTTTGTTTTCATTTCTTTTATTTTTTTGTTAACACTATTCACATTTGACACAAATTCACAAATAGGTTTGGTGCTCCAAGAAATAAATTTTTCAGCAAAAGTACTATTTGCTGAAATGTTTTTGTTTAGCTCTTAGAACAGGTTCCCTATGTAAATTTGGACAGCAACTGAATCCACAGGGGCAAGATTTGCTGTCAGCCTCAACAAAGCAAACAGCAGGGATTAGTTTGCCAATCGAGGCTGCAGGACTTGTCATTTTATTGAGTTCTGACTAATGAATGCCACTTAGAGCATCTAAATGCACTTCCTACATCAGCAGTGACAAAGCTTTTGGACCTTTTTAGTTAGCATTTCTTCTCTCTCCCACCATAATTAGCTGTTTGTGCCCAGTTCTGGAGTACAGATTGCATAATTGAAACAATTTACCTCAATGTGGTGCAAACTGCAGTAGTGAAATAGTAAGGCAGCCAAATGACTCCAGTGGCTTAGTGGTGAGCATCTCATAGATAAATATATTGCATGCAGGAGTCAGATTCTCAGTATGGGAGTTCCCCAAGATGAACTTATAACAAATCTCAGACTACTGTGATCAGTGGAAAAATTGCCTGAGTAGGAAAACATAGGATTCGGATAGGACAGGTGTGCAAAGAAAAATACTACATGCTGCGTCAGCTTGAGTTAGGGCTGGTCTACACTACCATGGTAAATCGATCTAACTTACGCAACTTCAGTTACATGATTAACATAACTGAAGTCGACGTAGTTAGATCCACTTACCGCGGTGGCTACATCTCCCGTCGACTTCCCTTACACTTCTCGGGGAGGTGGAGGACACAAATCAATGGGAGAGTGCTCTCCCATCGATTTAGCGTGTCTTCACCAGACCCGCTCACTCAACACTTGCTGGATTGATTGCAGCAGTGTCAATCTATTGGTAAGTGTAGACATGCCTTTAGTTACTTAACAAGCAAAATCAGTACTTGGTCCTTCTAGTGAAGGCAGGGGGCTGGACTCGATGACCTTTCAAGGTCCCTTCCAGTTCTAGGAGATAGGAGTTTGTTTTTAATGGAGATATCCTGTTAAGTAAATAAATTCCTACGTTGTTCATTGGCAATTTGGAGCAGTGAAAGATTGTGCAAGTGTTAGTGTTCCCTTCTTCTTGATGCTTCACTTTGAGCATTTCACCTTATTTTGATAGCATTTTAAGTCTATGTAAGCAGGTCATTCATCTGATTTTAAACTTGGATAGTCCTCTTTGGGTGGTTTGTCCCCTAGCCAGTACTGAGACAAAAACGGACATGCCACTTTGAAAAGTGTGCCTCTCTGCCCCTCAGTGTGTGAGGTCATGTGGGCAGGCCAGCACACTCTTCAAAATGGTGATCTCTATGTGGCGTGACCTCATACGCATCCTACGTGCGAGGTCACAGCAGTGGGGGTTAGCCCATGCCACTCCTGGAAGTACCAGAATGTTCGGTATTCTGGGAATGCATGAATGGCCATACTAAATCTATGGTACTTTAAAAAACATGCTGAAACCCTCTGGAACGCTCCTACTGGAAAAGTCGTCGGTGGTAAAGCACTTACCTACAGGACTAGAGCCATTTGCTCATCATGAAGCAACCACCAAACCCATTCCTTTGTGGAATTGCTTTCTTTCTAAGGAAAGAGCAATTGGAACTGCATTGGGATATAGAACTTTCTGATCTAGCTGAAAAATGAATGTTCTGACAGTGCACAAAGCGATTGCAAATACCTGAACAATGGCTTGTGCCCTTTCACAGCTGCTTATAAAGTCTACTCTGGCTTTTTCCAGGTTGGTAAATTACCTTATGAGATGGATTTGTGATGTTTGATAGTGAGAAATTTTGGTAAGTTACTGGCTTTTTTAAGAGCCTCCGTTGCAAGCCAGTGATAGCATTTGAGAACTTAGATAATCAGCAGTGAGAAAAAGAATCAAGCTAAAAACTTCTGCTTTTCACTGTCTTTTATAGTTATATGACTTTAGTCCTTGTAAAAACACCCAACAAATGAGAGCTAGGTTCTTGCAATTAGGTGCAGCCCATAGTGGGAAATATGGAGCCACTTGCCCTAGTGGAGCAATGAGAGAGAAACTGCCTCAGGAAGGCAGTTACTTACCCCATTTTGTGGAGTGCAACTTACTTATCCCCACCATGTGTGGCAGGTGAAGTTTGCTGGCCTGTGCTTGAGGGATGGAGCCATGACATACACACTCTATCCCCTTAGGGCACCATGTGGAACAATCCGAATTTGCCCCGAAGATGCAGACACTGTAATACTGTCTGGCCCTGATGAGCCAAGCACTTTTCCAAAGGAGGTTGCTCATGCTCTTCCCCTTTCCTCCGTAGAATTAGAGACCAGCGTGAAAAATCAAACCTGAGTCCCATTCCTGGCAGTTCAGTACACAAGTGCTATATCTTTATCAGGGCAAATTAGAAGTGGCTTCATACTTTCCTTGGCCTCTACTCACTCTTTATCAAGCTCTAGGGCTCAGCTGAACCCCGTGTCTTCATCATTTTAGCAAAAAGGATTGATGCACCTTTTAATCAGCTTCGTAAACTGTCTCAATGTAGCCCATGGTTGTAATACCCATTTGTCTTCCTGGTGATAAAGTCCTGAGTTTTCTGATAACTAGAGAGCAATTAAGCCTAAAGAAATAGCAGCTGGGCCAAGACACAGCAACATCACACAGAGAGCCACTAGTCAACGGTGTGGTATAGGCCCTGTCACCAATCTCCTACTTTTGTCTCTTACAGGTCGGGTTTCCTTTTTCACCTCTGGGTCGGAGAACCTTCATCGAGTGGAAAAGGTTCACTGGGGCACTCGTTATGCCATTACCATCTCCTTCACTTGCAATCCCGACCACGGCATTGAGGATCCAGTCTTAACGTAATCCGTCCTGGGAGAGAATGTGAGGTCGAATGGAATGATAGGAGAAGCCCTGTGAGGGGAGAAAATGGAGATAATTTCCTGTGTAAATTCCCAATCAATTAAAATTTCCCTACCTGTATTTAATATAATGTAACATCATTTTCACACATCTTCCTCCATAAGTGTTGCAAACAGTGCCTTAAGGACCATATTTAATTCAACATTCTGTTAAAAAAGGGTTTTGTTTTTTTATTCATCCAATTGAGGAAACAAGACCTTTTTTATTTTAGGTTACTTTGCTTTGAGGAATGCAGAGAAAACATATTGAACCAAGTTCTGCTGGGCCCTATGCCATTGTTAGCTGGTGTAATAGACCAGAATTTGGCCCTTTAAATCTTGTCATCTCCATCCTGTCACAACACCTAAGATAGAACAAGAAGGACATTATCCTCCTGTTGGCCAGCCTTTGTTCTTCTTGCAACCGATTCTCTTAGTCATGGGCATTATTTGCAAACACACACGTGGTTTTGTCTACTGGAACTTACTTGAACTGTTCTTTAGATTACTACAGGTATTTAAAGCTAAACATGGGGGGCAGGGAAGGGGTGCAGGTGAGGAGTGTTTAGTATCAAATAAAATTAGGAAACTAAATTGTCTGTTTGGTGAGTCAATAGCCTAGGGCTTCAAAAGAGCAATCTCAGTAGTGCAACAGGGATGGCCAAAGTGCTAACAGGATGTGTCATATTGGTCTTGGCTCTGATCAGGAAGAAGCATTTGATGTACTTGGCCCTGGGGTAGTTCTTTTTTTCCCAGCTGCATCTCCATAGTGACCATGAAGGTAGTTGCACTCAGCTGTTTGTGTGAATTGTTTTGTTTGAGCATTTTAAATGTTTAATTCTTTAAATATAATTAAAGGAAATTTCAAAATGAAAAATAGTTTAAACTTCCAAAATGTTTAGATTTTTTAAATTTGAAACAAAACATTTTGATTTTTTTCTTCAGATTTTTTTTTTAGGATATTCCACCCAAGACAATTCTGTAACATTAATAAATTCACAAAATGTTTTGAGACCCCAAAGCTGCATTTTTCACTGAACATGTTTGTCTAAAAGTTTTGTTCAGCTCTATTTTTATTGGCTTTAATTGGCAATAAAGCACTTCAGGCATTTGATATTTGGTTGAAGGGCGCTCTGATTTTGTTGTCATGCTTCACAACACTCAACTGCAGTCATGGAACAGCTCTTAACTTTCTGGCTCAAATAATGAATCAAGTTGTTCAGAAGTTTCTGAACAATTTGCTTTGGCCTAGTGTGAAGATTTTCCCTTAACCATGGATGCTCATCTATGGTATGTCTACTGGAATAATGTATTTCAAGGACTTCAGAAAACCGTGGGTTGTGCCATAAATATAGAACTAGTAGCAAAACAAATGACTAATCTTGTCAATTACTTTGCTTTATTGTGGTAATTAAGGGATTTGCAGATTAGCATTTTGATCATTTAATTGTAGGAGAAACAAGAAGTTTCCTTAGATACTGAGTTCTGATGAAAGTCTTCTATTGACAGTATAGCGTGAATTTGCGTCACTTCTGTAGAAGTCTGTTGTAATTGGCTTATAGGAAACTGCGTTGTGATTGCCTGCATTTCACATGCCTTTTTCCCTTTTTTCTTTTTTAATCCACTTATGACATTAGATATATTTAAATATTGGAGGATTCAACTGCAGCTCAGTGATAAAAGGTGGCTTTTCTCATTGGTTCCATTGGTAGAGTTATCAGCTGACATGCCTGCAAGGCGAGTTTGCAATGAGTTTTTCAGTTATCAGCACACCAAGACAGACTCTTTCCATGTGAAAGAGGAAAACTTGTCATAGTGGCTGGATCTAAAGAAATAAAAATATTAAAGTTAGTTGGATAGCATGTCTAAAGGCCTGATCGAAAACCGGTTGATGTCCATGGAAAGGCTCCTAGTGACTTCAGGGACCTTTAGATCAGGCCTTAATTGTACACATATGCAAGAACAGGATTAACAGCAGCAGATTCCTTGGGTTAGTTTTGTTATTAAAGCTATCGTGTCATTTCAACTTAATTCTTCAGGTTTTTTAGTGAGTTACAAAAGAATCTTCACTGCAATTTGCCACCTTAAAGTGTTTATTGGTTATTTCTGTGTTTCACACAGGCTGAATTGTTTTGAAAATAGCACATCTTTCAGAACCATCTTCTAAAAAGCACTTGTTTTAATGCACCAGAGATTAACATAAATTTGTTATACAGTTGCGGGGGAGGAATCTTAAGCAGTTGCCCGTTCAGGTTTTTCATACTTCAAAGACTGCCTACAGGACACTTTGCATCTCCTTCATACTGTGAATTCTGACTGACATTAAAACATATCTAAGAACAAGTTGTGTATGTGTTTACATTTATAATGAGATTTCAACCTTAATATTGATGTTCTCAGCAAGATGATCAAGTCTGTCAAATACCAGTCTACTTACGTGCTGTAGTTTGAAAGAGAATCAATATATTTTAAAAAGAAGAAAGAGGCATAGTGACTTAAACCGCTCTTTTAGAGTCCCAGTACCAATCAAGATTGTTTATACTGAAGCTCTTACATTTTGTCTACTAAAAGTAATATCCATAGAGAAGAAATTAGAACTGGAAATGCAGTATAAGCTAGAAGATTCTGATTACTGCCTCTAGGTACGAAAAATAAAAGAATAACCAGAGAAAGGTTTCAATGTATAGACCCATAGACTGTAAGGCCAGGAGGGACCATCATGATCATCTAGTCTGACCTCCTGCACATCACAGGCCACAGAACCTCACCTCTCACCCCACTTCTGTAATAGACCCCTAACCTCTGGCTGAGTTACTGACATCCTCAAATCATGAGTTAAAGATTCTAAAATTTTCTCTTGTTCAAACTAGCAAGCAACCTGTGCCCCGTGCTGCAGAGGAAGGCCAAAAAACTCCAGGGTCTCTGCCAATCTGACCTGGGGGAAAATTCTTTCCTGACCCCAAATAAAGCCATCAGTTAGACTCTGAGCATCTCAGCGAGACCTACCAGCCAAACATCAGGGAAAGAATTCACTGTAGTAACACAGAGCCCTGCCCAATCTAGTGTTCCATCTCCAGTCGTTGGTGATATTTGCTACTAGGAGTCGCAGAGCTAATTACATGTGGAGCTCAGATGTCTCAGGCAGTATTGGCATTAGTACTTAAACATACTGTCAAGGAAACTAACATACTGTAGCTTACTGTGTCTCCACTCCTTCTTTGTTTATAGTTTTCAGTATCTTAGTTTCTTTCCCCAATAACTTTGCCTTTTTCCAGGAGATAAAAATGACTTTGTTTTCATTGGAACTGAAGTTATGGTGCCATATTTGCAGTCACCCACAAACACAGTTATTCTTAAATACCTAATTATGTGATCTTTTTAAAAGTGTGGGTGGGAAGACTTCTCTCAACAGTCCCATTCTTCCTTTCCTCTCGCAGACTCTGGGAATAGCAGTGGAAATGGTTGCTGGAAATTAGGATCTAACTGAGGCATTACTAAGGTTTGCCTGGTACTCAAACACTCAGGTGTCAGAGATATAATTGTGAGTGCATCCAAAGTACATTTATTTATACTCAGCTATCAAAACTTCTTTAGAAAGCTTTAGAGCAAATAATAGCCATTACATTTTCTAAACAAAATGACCATTTAATATAATATCTTGTATATTTACTGCTTTCATCCAGAGAGATGAGTGATTTGCTCTATGAACCACAGATACATCTGACAGCTGCTGTTCATCGTAGTCTGATTCCGAGACAGGCTCATCTGTGCATGCTGAAGCTAATTATCTGAAAATAATGACAACAGGGAGGAAATCCAGCTAATTGATTCACATCATGAAGTGGTATGGGAGCTTCAGGTAAGTGCCTATATGCTCCTGCCAAATATCTATGAACACTTATAAATTGCCTTATCTTCCATTTCCTAAACTCTCCTATTGATCTGACAATTAATTTCCCTGTCTTTCTACTTCTTGTTAAACCTGTAACAAGATACCCAGAACTGTAAGATTCTTTGTGCGACCAGCTCCCTATTAACTGACAGCCGTTCAGTCCTGAAGTGCCTACCCCCATGTGATGTTAGTGCATGGGCACACTCATTTGTGTCCATCACAGCTGGCCATCTTCCATGTGGTGATGCTAGAGGTCTGTCTTTAAGGTTCCAGGACTGGCCCAAGAACGATGACAAGATTAGTTTCTTTTCCCTGGCCTATACTTAGGGCCCTACCAAATTCATGGTCAATTTTGGTCAGTTTCACAGTCATAGGATTTTAAAAATCATAAATTTCATGATTTCAGCTACACCTCTACCCCGATATAACGTGACCCGATATAACACGAATTCGGATATAACATGGTAAAGCAGTGCTCTGGGGGGGCGGGGCTGCGCACTCCGGCGGATCAAAGCAAGTTCGATATAACGCGGTTTCACCTATAACGCAGTAAGATTTTTTGGCTCCCGAGGACAGCGTTATATCGGGGTAGAGGTGTATTTAAATCTAAAATTTCATGGTGTAATTGTAGGGGTCCTGACCCAAAAAGGAGTTTGGGTGGGAGGGGTCAGAAGGCTATAGTAAGGGGTGTTGCGGTACTGCTATCCTGTGCTGCTGCTGGTGGCGGTGCTGCCTTTGGAGCTGGGCAGCTGGAGAGCGGCAGCTGCTGGCTGGGATCCCAGCTCTGAAAGCAGAGCCGCCACTAGCAGCAGCGCAGATGTAAGGATGGCATGGTATGGCATTGCCACCCTCACTTCACTGCAGCCTGCAGAGTTGGCCCCTCAGTCATCAGCCAGCACTCTCTGGCCACCCAGCTCTGAAGGCAGCAGCGCAGAAATAAGGGTGGCATGGTATGGTATTGCCACCCATACTTCTGCACTGCTGCTGGTAGGCACTGCCTTCAGAGCTGGGCACCCAGCCAACAGCTGCTGCTCTGTGGCCGCCCAGCTCTGAAGGCAGCGCAAAAATAAGAGTGAGCCCCCTAAAATAACCTTCCACCCCCTTCCAACTCCCTTTTGGGTCAGGACCCCCAATTTTAGAAACGCTGGTCTCCCCCATGAAATCTGTATAGTATAGGGTAAAAGCACACAAAAGACCAGATTTCACAGGAGGAGATCAGATTTCATGGTCCGTGATGCATTTTTCATGGCCATGAATTTGGTAGGGCCCTACCTATACTCCTAAATGTCTCTTCATTAAATCCTGCTTACTGAATCTCCACTAGTCGTTTGCTTGCTCCTCCAAAAAGTGCCTAAATTATGACACCCCTCAAACATTAGTCAAGCAGCACATATTACAACCTACCTCTTACTTATTTGCATACACAGTATGAATATACATTAACTGAAATGTTTTATGATAATTTTGTATAACTTTCATACAGAAATAAGTCCCAGTCCCACTGTGGGACCACTCGTACTGAAAATGTTTGCAGGATCAAGTCCTTAAATTTACACACATTCGTAATGAAAATGTAGGAACATTATGACAAATAAGAGTTTGACTCTTGCGCAGCTGATTGAGACCACATGAGCAGCTTCCTGACACATCGAAGACCTTAATTAGCATCTTGACTCATCACCATAACTCTTATTGACACCACTGGACATTCCGTGGGCAGAGTGAAGGCCATATATATGCCGCTAAGTTTGTAATTTAGGGCCCAATATGGCTTCCATTGACTTCAGTGCGATCAAGATTGATCCTTTTAATATGGAACCCCCAAAACTAAATGGGGCTAGTTGTGAGTGATGGTGCCTACTTGTGAAATTAATTCCCATTTTAAGACAGTACCATTCATTTACTAAATGTACATGGTCTGTGAAACAACTGGAGGGAGGGACAGCTTTTTAAAAAGTTATCTAGTTTATTTTTATAGATTTTATTCTGATCATTGTGAGGTCTTAGTTGGCTCTGCACCTACCTTTAAAAAGGGAATTCTGGTCTAACTATGCCATTACTGCATTTCCTTCGCCAGTCTCCAGCATCTAAGGACATCAAGCTGTGCTCTTCCTCCACAGGACTCTCTCTCACTCCATCCTTTGTATCAATTATTGAACTGTGCAATCATTGCAATCTCGTTGCACACCACTTATTTTCCCAATCATACTCAAAGAAGTTTGCGTTTTTAATATACTAGCAATATTGTCTGAACCCACTCAGCCAATGTAACCCATTAATCCTCTTTGAAAGGGTTTTATACTAGTTGAGGGAAAGATTACTGAGTGTCGCGCCACTTTTTTATTTTAACACGGTTTTTCATTCTTCACCATGGTGTGCTTTTTAGCTAGCTTCCTTCAGTTTTCCAGCTACCTCATTATTTTCCTTCCATTACGAGTATTGACCGTCCCTCAACGAACATCCTTTGTTTCAGACCTAAGTTCACTTCCATCTTGCACTGGCCTGTTATTTCATGTTTTGTCATGGAGATAGTGATAAAGGGGAGATCATTTTTACCTGCTGTTACATTATCTTACATCTTTTAACTGTAATTTATGGGCATCAAATACTGAGTCGAAACAAATTATGGTCATGTTCACAACTTTCTGGGCTCTCTGGGCATAGTCAGCTTCACAGTTAAGTGTTACTAATGCACTTCTGAATTAAATAGACTTCACACTCTGCATTTCAAGCAGAGGACCCTTTGGTATCAGTGTAGTAAGAGCCTGTGCCCCAAATCACAGCATGCCTTTGTGACAGAGATACTCTGTTACTAGACCAAAAGGAAAAATAATAGTGTTGGATGTGATGGTGGAAATTATTAAATGCAGGAAGCATCTGGTTTGCCTTTTTCTGTTCTCTTATTGCTCATGCAAAGAAGTTGGAGAGGCATGATTTGGCCCTGTCACATGTTCATCCAGGTGTTGTATGTAGTTTTTTTTTTAATTATTTTAACCAGTTTCCCTAGGTGCCGGGATGCCACACCTAGATACCTTTTCATGTTCTCTGTATGTATAAATATCTTCTGTCTGTGTGTTCCACTCTATGCATCTGGAGAAGTGGGCTGTAGCCCATGAAAGCTTATGCTGAAATAAATTTGTTAGTCTCTAAGGTGCCACAAGTACTCCTGTTCTTTTTGCGGATACAGACTAACACGGCTGCTACTTTGACATCTAGATAGTTTCCTCTCCCTCTGTCCGCAGACTCTCCAGTGTGGATTCACACCCTCATAGGAGCCTTTCCCAGCATATTCCTTTGGCTGCTGGCCCTTTAAATGGGGGTGAGGGGGAAGAACAGCACACAAATAACAGAAGCCCTAAAATGGCCATTTTGCATCTCATTGCTGCAGCTTCTTCCTTAGTAGCAGATGAGTAATTTTTTAGCTCCTATTTGTTTCCCAAGACAATCATTC